GGAAAGATACACATCAGAATAGCTCTCTGACATCACCAGAAATTCATTAATTCAAAAGGTTCTGAGTTAATGAATATTATGCACATCTACCAAGAAGAGACTAGATCTATCATGTGCTCTTTTCTGCAGAAAAAAATTATTTTCAATTAATCATATGTAAATTCTATTACATATTCCACTCCATAAATCACAGAAAAATATATTAAGTGATTTCTTTCAGTGACATATAATGTGAGAAATACATAGAGGCTTGAAATTTTGATGCTAAGTACAGATCAGTGAAATGAGGCTGTCTTTGCATTTATGTGAAGAACAAGAAACTCTGATCCTATCATTTTTTGTGTTTCAGAGGAGTAGTCTTTAATTTTTAATCTAGATGGATGTTTAGTTTAAATAAACTCTTGTTGTAGTTTGTTTAATGAGAAAACTCACTCTTCAACATGCTTGATAGTGGTTAGCGATCATTTTATTTATGGTAGTTTCCAAAATTAGCTATTTAACATACAAATATACTTACCACATCAGTAATTCTTAAAACCCAGGTGCCTCTTGGATTCTGTCCCCATGTGTGAACAGACATGAAGTCCCAGTTCTTAAAGCCATTGGGAGACTTATCTCTCTCTCTCTCAGCCAGTAAGATAGTGCTGGTCCCTGTGTTAGTGCAATAGACCAACAGTAGTGATTGTTCATCCATGTCTGCTTTTATTTTTCAGATTACTTAACTTGCAGACTATATCTAGTGCACACATAGGTAACCTGGAATATATACTATTTAACAGTGGCTTGTGGAATGGGAAAAATGCTATTTCTGATCAGTGGCTACTTTAATTATTTTCATAGCAGTATTTAAGAGCATTTAAACTGTCATATTAGGCCACAATAAAAAGGCACATCTTGCTTTGTATTCAGTGTCTAACAGGAGCCAGTAGTGGATGCTCATAAAGAAGCATAAGAAACAGAGATCATACACAGCCAGTCTTTTCCAGCAATGAGCAGTTCTGGGAATTTCTGCGCTGGAAGTTTCTAAGGCAAACCAGCTCACACCGTATTATGAAACTGCAACCTTATAAAGAATTCATCATTGGGGTTTTTTTGGTTGGGGGTTTTTTTGTGCATGAGTAAATGTAAGTCGTTACAGCCTGGAACTCAAACAGGGTGAAAAGCATTATGATTATGATTATTACAAAAATACTGCAGTTCAGAAAATATTTCTGCAGCAGAAGAGAATCTGCTGCACAGTAAAAAACTTGTTGTGCTTGTTTGCATATAAGGAGAGAGCAAGGGAGCTATATTTACATAATATAGAGCAGAAAAGCCCCAGGGAGCCTGATCACAAGCTATAAATACATTTAAAGGTAACACCATAAATATAAAAAAGAAACAACATACATTTGGTAGGAATGTTTTAAAGAAAAGTGGATAGTGGAGGCAGTAAAACTGACTATTACTACCTCAACTAAACTCACAGAAATAGATATGAAGAAGAAGAAATTACTGTCATCAGTCTTTCAAATGGGGGTGTCTTACTGAGATGAAGCCATACTTCCTAGACATTAGCAGCAGAACAGTGTCTTGGAGTGGAAATACCTCTATATAAGTGAAATGAGAGCTACTGTTCCCATTAGATGCCCCATCCCTGGAAACATTCAAGGTCAGGTTGGATGGGGCTCTGAGCAACCTGATCTAGTTGAAGATGTCCCTGCTCATTGAAGGGGGGTTGGACTAGATGACCTTTAAAGGTCCCTTCCAACCCAAACTATTCTATAATTCTATGATTATCTCCATGACATGCCTGAAGACAGTCCATGTATTTACTCCCAAGCTAAAACTTATCTAAGATTGAATTAAATTTGAAAATACACACCAATAGTCAAGGGTAAAACACATCACAGCAACACCGCAGTCATCTCACATAACAAAAAAGGTAAACTTACTTAGAAAAGAAAGAATTAAGGTTAGGCTTGAAAGGAATCCCAGACATGGTAGAGTATAGAAATATACCTTATGTACAGCACCTTAACTTTGCTCTCTAGTGAGGTCCTGCAATAATGACATGAACAAGGCTTTAGCGGTTTATTATCTGTGAATTACTAGATTAGCCTTTAATATTAGTAGATTTGATTGATGTTTAATATTTGAAATCTTGTCTGTTTTTTTCTAATAATATCAGTTGATCTGATAGAAAATCTTACTCTACAAAGTTGTTTATACTCTATCAACTCTTTCTTTTTCTTCTCTGCATGGTGTTATTTCAGGACACTGTCAACATAACTTGCCATATTCTATCACATTTAGTATAGTGATAATAAGGTCCCTAACAGACATTGTGTTTTTAAATACACCACAGTTACATGAAATCTAGGGAGCTGGATTTCTTCAGTTTTCCATTAGTTCATTAAGTCACAGTAAGGCTGATAAGCACTATTAAACTATGATTTGTTGTCTGCCAGGAATTCTCAGTTTTTGCAGTGTTCAGGTCCTGTCTCTAGAAATGATGCCCTCATTTTTGAAGTATGATTTTCAAATCTCTGCTTACATAAATAGCCCAGAACACATGAAGGCAGAGCAAGGGATTCAGAGAATCAGTTCTCTAGTTCCCTGGATGCTTTGTCCTCACACTGTTAGACATGACTAGATTTATCTAACAATATATTTACCTATTTTTCATCAAGTGAAGAGCACAGAGGTAGTTTTTAATGAAATAAATCTTACACACTAAACCAACAGAAACAAAACATTTATTTGCCTCCTGTACCTGATAGAGATAACAGAGTGACATGAAGATCACCTCTACGGGAATATTCAATTGTTGCCTCAAGTTGCACATGCTCCAGAGATGCAATGGAGTTTTCTTGACCGTTGCAGGCTTTTGTGGGAATTTCAATGATGACCTCCTCATTTGCTCTTAATAATCTGGCAAAACTACAGGAGTTCTTTGATTACTTACAGAAACTGTTTGATTCTGGATCATTATGTGAAATGCAGCTGACACATTTGATACCCATATCAGAATGATGAGAAAGGAATAAATAATGACAAATTTTGCATTTTTTATTTATTTTGAATGCCCCAGTAAAAACCCTGACAGTTCTGGGAGCACAAATAATACTGAAGTGGAGCAATTTATAGGTGCTGCATAAGCTACATTTGTGTAATGCACCCTGGAAACAAGTAAGCAAGTTTGATAACTGGGGGTTTCTGTCATCACATCCTTGTCCCACAGACTACAAAAAACAGTCTTTGCAATCAATCATCAGCTGTGTCACATGACCATATCAGATTTATACCTTAGTTGCCTCAATGAAATCACCAGAAGAGCTGTTATCATGGAGTTAAAATACTGCAGCGGGCATACCCTTTTAATCCTTGGTAGTCAATGCCAATGTAGTCAACGTAGTCAATATAGTCAAAAAAATTCACATCTTCTGTACATTCTCAGAGCACTGTGCATAGCTCTGCACAACTTCCATTAATTTTAATAAGAATTGACTATCTACACTTCCACATAAATTCACATAAATAATTCAAAACTTAGGATCCAGGAACCATTATTTTTATAATGTAACATAGAAGATGATTGCAATAATAATACATAAAAAATAAGAATTATATACATCAGTACTATACCAACACATCGTGGAAAGGAGATGGAGCATAAAAACAGACTGATAATAAAATAGCATAAATAGTAATGTTACCAAGCAGTGACACTCCATAATACTGCAATATCTTTCTACAGACAGATTTTTGGTGCATTTACACAATATAATTTGTAGCTTTGATATAGCTATTTATTCTAGAGAACAAATCCATAAGTGAACAAGTGGAGACAAAAAAGGTCTAAAGATCCTTACTGATTAACCAGGTTAATGATTAATTATAACTTACCTGTATTTTGAATACAGGATCACTATGCTGAGAGGATTTGTTAGTGTGGCTGGTAGGTCTTCTCAGTAAGCCTTTGAGACACTTGTGTTTCACAAGAGCAGTGCTATGAATATGACTAAAGCCCAATATATCACCCTGATTTCAACATGTCACAGGAAAAAAATTGCTGAGAGAAGTTACAGATGTTTTTTTAAAAAATCCGTGGGAGACACTGTGATGTGAGCAGCCATAAAGGTGGCCTGGTTAGAAAGGGGAAAATTACTCAACAGAAGAAAATGTCTGCTGGAAAATACTGACAGAGAAAGGCCTGCCAACCTGGAACTGTGAGCCTGGGAACTAGGCCTGTGAACCATAAGTATCCTTGAAAAGTGCAGCTGGCCTTTTTGAAGTACAGCTGGGTAGGTACATCCTGAGATACCATCAATAAGCACAAAAACACGAAACTGTAACAGTAACTTATCATCTGAAAAAGTTGAAACAGTCTGGGAAAATAAAAAATGCTCTGAAAGAACAGAAAATGTCATCATCTATTGGCTGTTCCAGGTGAAAAATAGAAATTAACAGTATCTATTGGCTGCTTGAAGTGATGATCTCCTCTGCCCACTTTGTCTCTATGATATAAAAAGGGACTTAATTTTAATCCAAAATGGAGCCTCTCTCTGAGAACTTCCCGTGCTGCATGTACTTTTCCTTTCCTGAACAGGTTGAATTCTCTACACGAACTTTCTACGAGATCTTGGACTCTCACCGGGAACGCCTGGCTGACGCCAGACTCTGTGACACAGATCATCTTTGAAGTGAGACTATCTATTATCTTATTGGTCCCCCTTTGGGCCCAGTTTTGGGGTCAGTTCAGTGTGTCCTCCCACCTCTGGGATGGTTGGGTCCCCCTCTGGGATTGGTTTGTCCTCCCCTTTGGGATGGTCTGGCTCCTTCTGAAATCTAATTCACTTGATGCCGGTATTATATATCCATATAAGTAATCTATTATATCTGCTGCTATATTGTTGATGAGTTGCTTCACTAATGATAAGTTTGTAGCAACCTGTAATAGTATATACCTGCTTAGTTGTTGCTGTTATTGGTTATTGCTATACGATTAATCACTGCCATACTACTGATTGATGCTATATTATTGATTGTTGATAGCAATTTGTAATAGCTTGAGATATATACATATATTTGCTTTATTAATCATAGTTATACTTGCTAGTGGTGATTTGTGTGGTATTTGTGGTAATATGTAATAGAGAAATTTAGAGGATAAAGCCTCCATGTCTTTGTGTATTACAGAATCCTACGAACCCACAATCGCAATCTCTACACACCTGCAGGCCGGGTAACTCTTTAGATCATGACACTTTGGTATCTTTTTCTTCATCTGCTGATAGCAATGTAAACTTTCATATCTTATCTGTTCAGGTTCAATCTCACAGCATCATCCATCCATACATTGGCTGCACAAGCAAACGTAATGATCTTATTCTTTGTTAAGGCTTTCATGGTAGTAATTTCCATCAGTCTTACACTAAATGGTAAAAAACAAGAAGAAAAATGCTGCTTGCCTGCCCCTGAGGAATACAGTAAAGCAAAACCCAAAGAATCAAAAAGAAATCTCTAAGTCTGTCTTGGAGCAATCTGTGCAAAATACTATCCTTCAGGCTTTACTAAGATGATTGATAGGTGCAATCTGAGATAAGCTTAGCTACTGCTGTGGTGGTGTGCTCCCCCCCACACACACTTGACCTTTTCCCGTAACCCTGCTCAAGCGGTAATCACCAGTGGTGATGCATCCAGCTCAAAGTGGATTCGGGGGAGACAGACAACAACACAACAGCCAAGGGCTAATTTATGGCAATGTGTCCACCTAACCACAGTGCTGGTCAGTGTCCAGCTCAAGCTAGAT